AAAAGCCAGGAAACTTACCAGCATCTGAAGTGTCAGGTACATGTGTTGAAGTTGCCTCAAAATAATGTGTTATTCTACCAGCACTGTTACTATATGCAAAAAGTAAATACAAAGTGAAAAAATGAAATTCACTAACCCAAATGAAAACAATTTGCTTCTAAGCATATTACGGCAAATGTCAGGGGTATTGAGATTTATGAGGCTTAATTCATGTGCATAGTGCATATATTACACATAGTTAAACAATAGCTGGACCATAGTTAACTTATTTAATAGACTTTATGCACTCTTCATTGTTTTACTGCTCAAGCAGTACCTTCTTTCAGAAATTCCAGAAGTCCCACCACGACAAGTGTTGTTATGCTCCATGGCTTCTTGGGCAGGGAATCGTTCATGACAATCATCACATTCAACAGTGTGAACATCACATTCTAGTTCCTGAGATTAAATAAAGTGTGTCACTAAATAAGTAGCTTGCAACTTAGGCTATCATATATTAAAGACATTAAAGCATCTATACTGGTAATATCTACATTATATAGCACATACAGGTACATGTTCACTTGGATGTAAGCAGACATCATTTTTATCATGATCTCCATCTGGACCTGGTACGATTTCTGATCTGAATTTAACACAAAAGAAAATGTTATATCTTGCCATGCACTGTCACAAAATGGTTGCAAACATGAAATTGAGATGAACAAAAGATTCATGTTATAAGTGCAATACAAAACCGACCGACAAAGCATTTCATATACTGATCCCGTAGCCGATCAAATACCTAGAACAAATAATATCCGGTTTGGACAACTAGACGGCAAATTAACTTACATAATCGTTTAAACAGTACCCCTGCATACACAAACGAAAGGTTCGTAACCACGGAAAATTTGATAAAAATTCCTATATTGAACCATAAAAATTGGAGACTAGGTTGCCCAAATGCCCAAAGATACCCACTATCATTTTTCCTTTCAAATGTCAGATCACTTCTGCCGAAAATTGATGAATTATATGCTATTCTTAAATTAAATCATGCCAGTTTAGCTTTTATCACAGAAACATGGCTAAATGAAAACATTGACAACGCCGCAGTCCAAATACATGGCTACTCCTTGATACGTTGTGATAGAAAATCTAGGACTGGAGGAGGGGTGTGTGCTTATATAAAGTCACAGATCCCCTTTAAAATTCTAACTTGTTTGCAAGATGTTTGTTTCGAAACTCTGTGGCTTTACCTGAGACCTCACAAACTGTTCCGAGGATTCTCATGTTTGGTTGTCTGTGTGGTTTACCACCCACCATCCAGCGACAACAACACAATAATTGAACACCTTACCATAAAGCTTGATGTTGCCCTCTCCATGTACCCAAATGCTGGCATAATATTAGTTGGGGATTTTAACAAATGTCCAGTTTCCACAATACTCAGACATTTTACTTTAAAACAGATTGTTAAACAACCTACGAGAGGGAATGCTATTTTGGATTTAATTTTGACAAACATGTCAGACTTTTGTAACATCCCCTTGGTAATCCCACCCGTTGGGCGCAGCGACCACAATTCAGTGTTATGCTCATATAAGGAAGGTTCAACTAAAAACGCCCACACGAAAGTAAAAATCAGACAGGGAAATAATGCTGCAAAAACTGCTTTTGGAAAGTGGTTAACCGATTTTAATTGGAACATTTTATGCCGCACTATTTCTTGTGAACAAAAATTAGACCTCTTCCAAGACATCATAAATGCCGAATTGGATTGTTTCCTTCCAATAAAAACTGTCAAATTACATGACAATGACAAACCTTGGGTAACTCCTGTATTTAAGAGAATTATCGGAACCATTTCGTAAATTTCTGATGTTATTTAACCTATTGGTTACAAAATCAGTTTTAAATAAATTATTATTATTATAAACTTTTTTTAAAAAAAACTCATATCAGTCACTCTTTTCCAGCTCAGAGGCATCTCTAATAACTTCAGGACCAGTAGCATAGCCAGCCCGACTCTTTGGTCCCGCTATGCAAATATTTCCATGTTCATTGACTGTGAAAACAATCAATTTCTAAAGAAATTAATAATGATAATAATTTTGAATTTGCATAGTGGGACTAAATTGTCGGGCTGGCTACGCCACTGTTCAGGACATAAATTTTAATGAAGTTATGGAAACCTCAAGCTGGAAAAAACTATACAAGCATCCTGCCAATGGCTGAGAGGCCATATTTAACCCATCAATGCACTCTTCTGAAAAGTTATAAGGTTAACATCTCATTCAATTTATCTACCACAAACTATTGTTGATGCATTCATAGGTTAGATGAGAAGAATGGTAGGCCATAATGATCCTGCCCCTGCATGGGCATTTAATATATATTCTGAAAAAAAGCTTCCTTTTACAGAGATAGGGCTTCTCTAACCATTCATTATACTCACAGTTCATCATCTCTGCAACAAATTTGCCGATGTTCCCTGATCTCAGTAATCAATACTTCAACCTCACAATTCATACACTTTACCAAAGGAACAGAACCAGTATCCTAAAATATATATTTGTATACTTTAAAAATCTAAAAACTGACTTACTTCGTGTACCATAGAACAGTGATATTAATCGTTTGCAAAAGACCCTCCTTAGAAATTCTCTCCATGTAAATGTTGGCTTTCAACTGATACCTGTATATTGTATCAAAATTTGAATTATACATATATAATGTTGTGTCATAAAAAACAACCTAAGGAGAAAAAGGGGTGCAATGTTTTGCTCAAGCCATGCTTACAATGTTTTGCTCAAGGGGTGCTTACAATGGTTTTAAGGTTGGGGATATGAGATTAAGGATTTCTGATAGAAACAATCACAAAAATGTTTTATGAATTTTGTTAAGCGTTCACAGTACCTCAGAACTGTCCATAAGTGCTTCAGGTTCCATGCCTAAGTTAGTTTGTATTGGCCGAATGAAGGCAATGGCTTGCCCCAACCCTGCTGAATGCCTTTATAGATATGGTACGCTGTATCCTCTGCGTGGTGACTGTATGACCATCAACTCATTGGCTTGTGGACCACGCCTCATAATTTCAAAGCCTCCGCCATTTTCTAACTTTGGATAAATCTCTTCCAGCTTTGTTTTCACTTCTGCTGCAGTCGCTTTCCAGTTAAAACAAATCTTTTTCCGGCCTAAGCCAGCTTGTTGTAAGCGTGTCTTGAGAGCTGTACTGGGAGCCACAATTTGCTCGCGATTGGCCAAGCAAAAAAATGTGTGTGTCCACGTTTCACACACTTTAAATTTCGGAACAGCATTTTGTTTCTTTCGCTTACTTGGTGGATGAGCTGATTGGTGTGAGGAACTGAGACTTCTTCGGTTACTGCTTCCATAAGGAGCAAAAAGATCTCTAAAATTACCTAGCGATCGTTCCCTAACACTGTTGACCAGTGATGGCGAAGGGGTTGAACTTGTATTACTTTCGGTACTACCTGATATGTTTTGCCTTTGGTTTATATTGTCTGTTCGTTGATGATGCTGTTGTTGGCCTTGGGATATCGCGTTTTGAATAGGCTCACTGTTTAAAAATTGGGTTGTTGACGTATCTGATGAGCCAGAATATTCTCCAATCAACCTTGTTGCCTCCTGCAATAAGGAAACTGCTCGCCGACGATCAAAGCCTTCACCCTCGGCCATATTGGAATTACCATTTTCGCGCGTTTTGCCCAAATAAGGCTCTCGCTTCTGGTTGTCAAATTTTGGTTTCTGAGTGCCACGCCGAATGAAATTTCAAGCCGAATGAAATTTCAAGCCGAATGAAATTTCAAGCCGAATGAAATTTCACAAATATTGAATTCACGCCGAATGAAATTGCACGGCGAATATTGATTTCACTCCGAATATCACTCTGAATGAAATCGCAAGCCGAATGAATTTTCACTCCGAATGAAATTCGCCATAATTGCAAGTAGGCATTGCATAATTGCACAACAAAATGCAATAAATGCAATTTTGAATAGCATGATTCAATAAATGAATTTTGGCGGATATCACACCTCATAGAAATGCCTTGTCATTCAGTTTAGCCACTCGATCTTGCATCACAATAGAATTAGTTACGCTAAGTAACATGTCGTACACGTCAAGTAGCAGCTGAAATATTTTAATATTTGCCATTTTGCCATAATATTTATAAGCCCATATTAAACCTGTTACAAATGGCCGAGTCCTGCCGAGATACAATGTCTCATCTTTTAACGAAAATTCAAGCACTCGTTTTGCCATAGCAGCTTTAATAGCTCTTCCAATATTTGCCATTGAATATAGTTTAATAGTAGTGTGATTTAAAGCACCTTTAAACGTATAAAAGACTATTTTGTATACAATATTCTGATGAGAATCTTTGTTCAAAACAATCTCGATTGTGAGTGTGTGCCCACGCGAATTTAGTAAGTGGAATAAACAAGAGCAATAAAAGCGCATGCACCATTTATCTCATTTTGGATAAAAAAAATTCGATTTCCCCAGAGTCATGCCACTACCTAACCCGCGAACGAGATTGGGTTTTAGCAGGCATCTCTCCCCAATTTTCTCCCTGCACAGGGAGCCCAATATGAACATCAGTTATTTGAATAACTAAATTATATAAGTTCTCGACGATTAAGAGATGCCTGCGGAGGAGGCTAGCACGCGGGATGTTGCAAGACTTTCGGAAAGCGTAAAAATCACACTCGCCTACGCTTTCCGAAAGTCGACCAACATCCCCAGTGCATGGATCATGCCATCCTGCACAGGAAAACCATATGCTAATTGTTTTATAAAATTACTACAGTGAAACGACGCTTAATGTGATTAAAATTACTGATGAAATGTGCAGTTCTCACAACATTCGTGAATTAACCAATCAGAGAATCGCTACTCCACGCTATTGAAAACAACAACATATGTGAACAGAATTTGATCGCAAATTCGCGAAAATATACAGCGAAAATACAGGGACTTTTTCGATAAAATATACGAAATTTGAAATGGAAAACCCACTAAACAGAGAACCAAAGTAGTTTTCAAGATTCTCGACCTGGATATGTGAAGATTGCGCAGCGTTTGATCAACTTTGAAGCGAGAGATGTTCTACTTACATGCCATGGTCTGATGAATTTCAACGCTACTCGCGTTTCTACTTGCTGAATAGCAATGTATCGCTCAGAAATTTATTCATACAACTAAACCAACGTCTCAATAATTGGAAACTTACTTCAGAGTCAAAAGGTATCGTACAATGAAACTTTACAATGCGAGTATATTTGTAAAATTATGTGCAAGAATTTCTGTTCAGAATTTCCCGTGCAGGATTGTCTGATCCTGCACGGCTGTTGACCAGTCAAGTTGTGTGTTTCACTGTAGTTATTATATAATACCTATTACCGTGTTTCCTATTGCTGTGTTCGCTGGCGGCAGTGTCTCCACAACGCATCATTCAAATTTCCTTGACTTTGTTTTAAAATTTCCTTGAGTTTCCTTGAAATGGGATGTAATTTCCTTGAAATTTTTTTGATTAACCGAAGTATATTTCAGCAACTTGAATTCATCAATACTTATATAAAGTAAGACAGAAACAGAATGGTACATTTATTTCGTACAACTCTTAAAAACAAAGCCTTTACACAACAATTTTGAAAGCTTTAATTTAAAATGTAAAATAGTACTAGAGTTTTAATATTGTTCTCAATAGTCATGTGAATACATGACAAATAAATTCATATAAATTTGCCTGCACGCAGCACGCTACCTGATTTCCGCCTAAAATTCAGGTTGTGTGCAGCCTACTTATAATTAGTTTAATTAATAATTCTAGATTCTACCGACTCGGTCACAGGCTCCAAAAGAGTTTTTTTTATTTTTGCACGCGGATATATTGGTTATGAGCGAAGGAAAGTAATATAATTTAAAATTAATGAAAGGTTCCTGAAAGAATCTTCAAAACGTTTCAGTTGACTCAAAAATTCCATAAATTTCCTTAGAATTTTAAAAAATTCCTTAGATTTCCTTGATTACTTTTTTCCTTGAAACATCTTTTTTCGGTCAAAAAGGAAATTTCCTTGAAAGTGGAAACACTGGCTGGCAGGCTATTTCCAGTGAACTCCAATAAGACTGGAACGATAACTCAGGTAAACATGCTCATACTTGCCTGAAGCCAACCGAGCAAGGAAATTGCACTTTTAAAAGGACTAAGGAGAGTTTTGAGGAGTGGGAATTCAGTCGAAGTTTTATATTTTCGCCGAAAATGAGCAAGAAAAGTCGTTTTTCATCAAAAGACTTCAATATTAAAAACCCAAATGCGATTTATTTGATAGTTAGAACTGCTTTGCATCCTACAACAGCAAAGTTTGAAGGGTATCAGGTTTGCTTTCATAAAAACGACACTAGTTGAACGTGCTGAAGTGAACTTTGCTCTTTAACTAAAAAAAAAACAACTTTAAAACATAGGTCTACGGACCAATACCTTTTTTGTATTATTAAAACGTCTAGGCATAGTTGTTTATTTCGAGTGCTTTTTGACTTCTCTAAAACGTGAATAAATCATTTTTCCGTAGAAATCTCCCTTGATTTGTGATTTGTGATTTGGCGCCCGGGAGAAGTTCGCGCGCTGTGACTTTCAAAAAAGAACTGGGGAGAGTTCAATTTCCTCATAATTTTGTTTTTTTAGCAAAAATACGCCGAAAAATTAGGTTTTTCGTACGAAGATTTCATTTTCAAAGATTCAAACTTGGTTTTCTGGATAGTTCTAAGTATTCTACATCCACTAACAGCAAAATCTCGAAAGGAACCGTTTTTGTATTCAAGAAAATAACAAAATATTTTCCGTGCCGAACAAAATACGACTTTCAGGTACACAAAAAATAAGGTTAAGTCTTTTCCACGGCTTCCAAACATGACTTGTGCAATAGTCCAAGTATCGTAGATGTTTTTAAGCTTTTTATCTATGTTCTAGCATAGCTAGAAAGGCAGAAATCCGAGTTTTTTGAAGAGGTGTATTTTCGCCGCCGTACCTCCAATGGCGGCCTTCAATTTGGCTTCAAAGATGGCGGCCGAGTTATCGTTCCAGTCTTATTAGAGTTCACTGGCTATTACCTATTACCGTGTTTCCTATTGCTGTGTTCGCTGGCGGGCTATTTCCTATTACCTATTACCATGTTTGCTATTGCTGTGTTCGCTGGTGGGCTTAGTTCCTATTACCTATTACCGTGTTTGCTATTGCTTTGTTCGCTGTTGGGCTATTTCCTATTACCTATTACCGTGTTTCCTATTGCTGTGTTTCCTATTTCCGGTATAAATTTACTATAAATATTATAGTATATCAATGACTCGATATATCAAAGTCTCTTTTAGTCAAAGCAAGGAAAGATTACGATAAATTTGTGCTTTTGGACGAGATCAATGTCTATATTTCTTGTATTTTAAAATTGTATTTTAAAATACTTAAAACGTAGAAAAATTGGGAATCGACTCACATTA